CACACACCCACACACCCACACACATACACACATACAGACACACTGTGCAAAGACTCCCTTTTTGTGCTTCGCACACGGGAGTCAAAAAGCACACAACTATAGCATACAAATATAGCTCACCAGATCTACAATACATTAAGGTGCAAATTTATAGTAATTATTACCAAATAAATTTACCTTTTTTTGCCAGTTTCTTTGTATAATTCTACCATGAGACAGGACGCAGTTGGAGGCCACAGGTCATTGAAAACCCCGACCGCAGCCATCACTGAAGCCATTGTTGTATCATGCTGAAATTACAGTGACAATTAAGACCATGAATTAAAACATGAATTATATTTCGAGTTCACAGTCAGAAATAATGTACAAAAGTGGTAATAAAAAAGTAGAAGTAGATTAGAGGATGCGGTACAGGCTACTAAATATAACTGATTGCTAAATCTGTCAATCACATTTTTTTCACCCAGGTACCAGTGCATTCACAAGAAGCTGACCACAAGGTGGCATTTACGCCATAAACATCTACACCAATTTCAGTTCTGTCATACTACTTTTGGTCATGTGACCCATTGTTCCTGTACACTTGGTCATTTGTCTCTACGTAAATTTTGTAATCCCCCAGTTTACCTTAATTTTATATGCCTAATAGTAACATAATAAAATTTGCCAATTAAACATTTATGAAGTTGTGATTTCTTTATTTTATGTTGATTTTCATGCTCTCAAACTTTAATAATTTTTATAGCATACATAATTTTCACTTTCTGAATGCAAGTGTTTCCAAAACTTAGATATTCCAAAACATGCAAGCACATACTCACAAATGTGAGCAAGTACTCACAAATGTTAGCATGTACTCACGAATGCGAGCATGTACTCACGAATGCAAGCATGTACTCACAAATGTGAGCACATATTCACAAATGCGAGCACATATTCACAAATGTGAGCACATATTCACAAATGCGAGCACATATTCACAAATGCGAGCAGTTACTCACAAATGTGAGCACATATTCACAAATGTGAGCACATACAAATGCGAGCATGTACTCACAAATGTGAGCACATACTCACAAATGCGAGCACATACTTCACAAATGCGAGCACATATTCACAAATGTGAGCACATATTCACAAATGTGAGCACATATTCACAAATGTGAGCACATACTTCACAAATGCGAGCACATATTCACAAATGTGAGCACATACTTCACAAATGCGAGCACATATTCACAAATGTGAGCACGTACTTCACAAATGCGAGCACATATTCACAAATGTGAGCACATACTTCACAAATGCGAGCACATATTCACAAATGTGAGCACATACTCACAAATGCGAGCACATATTCACAAATGTGAGCACGTACTCACAAATGCGAGCACATATTCACAAATGCGAGCACATATTCACAAATGTGAGCACATATTCACAAATGTGAGCACATATTCACAAATGCGAGCACATATTCACAAATGCGAGCACATATTCACAAATTTGAGCACATATTCACAAATGCGAGCACATATTCACAAATGTGAGCACATACTCACAAATGCGAGCAGGTTTGGAATCACACGTACCCCTGAATACATATACATTTTATATGTTGCATTCTGTGGTGCCTCTGCTTTTGATACCATGTGTTTGGTTATTTCATCCACTAAAATACCTGAAAAACAAGTAAACATAATTTCGAAAAATCTGTTGAAAAAATGATTTATTATTAATATCATCAAGCATTATGTAACTTTGATATTTGTGTACAGTGATACATGTATACTATATACAGTAATATGCATCAATCAAACACATTTAATGACATTACAGAAAATCTTGGAGGCAGTGACGTTGCTTGGAAAGGTTTGCTGAATCAAAAAATATTAAACGTAAGCAAGAACACGAGCAAAAATGGTTGAGATGAATACAAACCAGCGTTAGTATTTCCAGCAGTGCAGCACAGTCGTGCAATTTTGTGATGAACTAACAATACAAAATTGTACAAGTCAACCTTCAGCTCATGCATACATGCCGTGGCTTGTGAAATATCTTGTGGCGTACCCATATTGTGGTGGTGATATATTCCCTAAATATATACTAGTCACAAATAATCAGAAACAGTGTACTCAAGCTTATTGTGTAAACTCAGGGCCCTTTGAAGGTTTGTATTTGTAAAATACATGCTTCGCAATCTTGAGTTTTTGCCGAATTCAAATGTTGCAATGTTAGTGCACATATATGCAATGCATCATATTGTACTGGAAACTCACTATAAAGATACATGTCAGTGATAATACAACAACTAAAGATGATCAGATCTTCAACAGGCCGATGCAATGTACAGTGTCCATCTGATTAACAGGTCAGGCACATGTATTCAGGTCTGTAGCATAATGCAATGTCAAGCCTGCAACAGGTTTGCCCAATCAGATATGCAGCATGCCAAATTCTGTCAGGCCTGTAACAGGTTTGCCCCATCAGACATGCAGCAAGCCAATTCTGTCAGGTCTGTAACAGGTTTGCTCCATCAGATCTGCAGCATGCCAATTCTGTCAGGTTTGTAACAGGTTTGCTCCATCAGACATGCAGCAAGCCAATTCTGTCAGGTCTGTAACAGGTTTGCTCCAACAGACATGAGGTATAGATGTACAGCAGTCTGATGGGTGATGTGCAGCAGTCTGACGGGTCAGATGTGCAGCAGTCTGATGGTCAGATGTGCAGCAGTTTGACAGTTTAGATACGCAGAAGACTGACTGGTCAGATGTGCAGCAGACTGATGGATCAGATGTGCAGCAGACTGATGGGTCAGATGTGCAGCAGTCTAAGAAGTCAAATGTGCAGCAGCCTGACGGGTCAGATTTGCAGCAGCCTGACGGGTCAGATGTGCAGCAGCCTGACGGGTCTGATGTGCAGCAGCCTGACGGGTCAGATGTGCAGCAGCCTG